ATATATATATATATATATATATATTCACATTCAGCCATAATTGTTTAATCATGCAAATGTACTAAATAATCTATATATGTGGTGGCCATATGAAGAGGAAGAGGAGGCTTCGATATGCAGAGTCACATAGTTCCTATGAGAAGTCCAATCTGCTGCTGATGATGTCACATATGCTGCCTCAGGGAGACGAGGGACTGCACCTAATGAAAATGCATTTCAGCATTTCAGTGAAGTAAAGATGCCTGACTATTAGACCGTAGTGTAATGTGTGACTGCGGTCCACAGGAGCTTGGAGCAGTTCTTGCATCAGAGCTCAGTCACGAGTTATTCTAGTATATCTTTTGTTTCACATCAAGAGGACAAAAGTCACAGGAGTTGCAGCCGACCAGTCCATAACCCAGGTCAAAGCTCGGCATCTTCAACAGCAGCTGTTGCAGTGTTCAACAGATAAAAATATGAGTACGTGGAGTTATTTGACCTGCTGACCCTGTCTGCTGCTATAACTTATTGTATTATCACCACAATAAAGAAAATAATTATCATGATTACAAATTCTTTAAAAGAAGGCATTTAAGGTAAGTTACTACTTATGCTTAAAGACAAATTTGACATTAATACAGACTGAATAGTTTAACAGTGAGTATCGTTGAATATATTTTTAACTGAAAATAAAGTGACTCAATGCTTCAGCTGTACACAGCTTATTGACACATGCACAAGGTCCTTGAACCCTATTTATGGGCAAAGTTCACATTCAATAGTTTGTTCAATAGTGTGTTTTGCAAGAGAAGCACTGTTTTGCCCGAACAGTCTCTGCCAAAGTATACAGAAGTCTGCTGTCAGACAGTAATTTCTTCACAAATAGATATGCAGTCAGGCAGCCAGCAGGGTAAAGTGATTGAATGAAGATGGTAAAATGTAAAAGAAATACCTCTGTCCGTTGTTTACTGTTGTTTCATAAGATATCCCCACACATTTCAAAATATTCTGATGGCCTGCAGTGCAGTAGAGTTCCTTGGGAAAGCATTTATCTCTGCACACTCTGTAAAACTGCCTACAAGCTGATTGATTAGCTGTTTAAAAAGAGATACTTTGGGATGAAGAATCCTCAAAGTGCACATTTGTTATTTCAGCTTGGCATTTCTGTGGTGATCACATCAAATGTAAGTTTTATTTCTTGCAAAGTCTCTCCCAGAAATGTTCCCAAATAATTAAAAGGATCTGGTTCGCAGCAACCCAGATTGTATATAGGGTTTGGGAAAAACCCAGCTGAGAGAAGATTAGAGTTTACAACTAAGGTCCGCTTACAGGGCTCTTTTTTAGGGCTTTCTCTTCTTTTTTATTTGATATAACACCCTTGGAAAGTTTAATATATTTCAGGAAACCTTCCACAATTTCATTAATGTGAAATTTAGCCATATTGGCTCTTTTCTAAAGCAATCTAGATTATATCTTTTTAAATGTAAATTCCTGAACTTAAAACAATTTAAGGGCATCATTTGCGAAATTTTCAAAACTTAGTTGATGTAAAAACAGAAACTTGGAATGTTTATTTACGCTTTTACCTCTACTTGTCTAGCCTGTTATGACACACTTTTTAATGGAATGAAAATAATAATAAAAAGGCCCCCTCTTGATTAGTTTCAGCTGGTTTCAAAAGTCTGCGTCAGACTATTAACCCAAACACAAAAAAGAGTTCACATCAACCCTAACATTTTTGTACTGGTTACATGTTGATTTTAAAATCCAGGCTTTAATTTGCAGGGAGCTGAATGCTCATACATCTCCCTTTACTAATCTGAAGTCCTAAAACCTACATTTGTAAGAAGTTCCAAGAACTGGTGATATAATAACCTGGTATTAGCTTTTTCCAGGCTGTTGCACCCAGACTGTCGTATGAGCCTTTATCTTGCAGCCTTGACTCTGAAAGTTGAGAGAACACTTTCTCATTTCTTGTTGAACAGCTGTATTTTTTAAAGGTGCTGGAAATTTACTTAATTGCTTACTTACTCAGCACTAAACAAATCAATATCATAGAAAAAACTTTAATGTCTACAATACACAATGAAGGCAGAAATTTGCCTTTGGCTTGCTCACACACAATAATGTCAAAATACATTAAAATACAATAAAAAAATAGTTCATTGCAGACACAGCAGCAGTAGCAGATTCACTTCATCAAGGGAAGGGAAGAAGAACAGAGCGAAACATACGAAACATATATTTACATGTTATTTTGGCGATTCTCAGCCTAGGGCTTCTCTGCATAGTTTGCATGTTCTCCCAGTGCATGTTTGGGTTCTCTCTTGGTACTCTGGCTTCATCCCATCGTCCAAAGACATGAGTGTTAGGTTGACACAATTAATGCTGTAATTAGATGAATCATTACTGCGTTTCCCTGAAGCTCCTGATTCTCCCTTGCTGTTGCTGCTTTTGCAAAAATGTACCTAAAGCAACTTTCCTTTGACATTCGACTTTAAGTTTAGTAGAAACAGGAAGTTAACCTCAAAATGGCCATTGAAGAATAAATACAGCAAATGAACCAATTTGTAATACATTTGATTTGGATGGCTCACAATGAAGTCTGTTATAATTGTTTGTATTAATTCTGGGAAAATAAAAAAAGATAAAAATAAAAAAAAGATACAAATATATAATTGGTCAGAACATTTAGCCATACATCACTGCCCTCATAGAGGTTGGAGCAACACGCGCGCCCTCCCCACGCGTCCAGCTGCGTCACGCGGTTACAAGGAGCTGAGCAGCTCGGGCTGAAAAACGCACCGAGGGACACACATGCGGTCACCACCGCACATACAGATCTGTGTTTCATTTGCTTTCATTGCTTCTCCAGGAGTTTGATTTAAAGCCGCAGACCGGCGGAGCTCTCAGTGCCAGACAGGACGGAGAGCCGAAGTTCTCTGCTGAAGCGCAGCAACATTTCTGGTGAAAGTTGGATTATAGCGCAGAGAGGGAAGAGGCTGGTTAGAGGATGAGCATTTTGGATGTCAGCGGAGCTCAGCGCTGTCAACGGTAAATGTTTTTATAATAACAACAATGATTTATTATTATTATTCTTTGTAGAAATATTAATTGCAGAATATTTATAGAAAACTTTTTAAGTTTTATTTTTTGCAAGTTGGGGTCATGTTTACATTTCTGCTTTTTCTTAATTCCATTATATTTACTTAATGTCTATTGGCTACAATTTTAAATGCATTATTTCAATGTACAAAGGAATGGTTCAGTGATGTATATCTTTTTAAAGTTGTTTAATCTATGCTGTTTATAATGAATAGACTCATTCAACTGTTTTATATTATGTTTCTTGGTTTTAATACTTGTTTAAAAATTTGCAGATTGCATACATGTTAAATATTCTGCCATTATTAAACAAAATGAAATATGAAGTATTTGGATTTATGCTCTACAAGACTTTTAAGAATTTTACAGATCAGAAAAAAAAGAAAATAGTTCAGATTTTTGTATAACAACAAAACCAAAACGGTCAAAGTTCAAACTTCATGCCAAACAAACATTATATAATTCATAAAGGCTTACCAATATGTTATTTCTCTGTAATTATACACCAGGGAAATTCTTGATGTACAGTTTTACAGTGAATAAATCTGAATTTGATTGTTATGGGAGTTAATTGTAGAGGAGGCATTCTGTTCTCTTAATTAGACTCACTTGAGCAGCATCATGCAAGGCAAAAAAACAACATATGGGTCCGCAGTACCTTTTGCATGTTTTATTACAGTGCTCTAAGTGATTTCATAAAAAAAAAACACGTGATGCATTTTTTTTTTTATAAACAGCTACCACACCTAAGTAAACAAACACAGCCTTTTCATTAGCACCACGTCTGCTGCTAAAGAGCAGCATGTACACAACCATGGTGAGGAATCAGAATCAGTCTTGCAGGTGCACCCTATGGATTTTATTTTTCTGTACATATATAGGCTTTGGTGCTGATTTGCAAACATTAGTAGGCAGTGAAGGTGTTTCAATGAATACTAGAAGTGAATTAGGGAGGTTTTACGATGCATAGAGAGACTCTCTGCGAGTGTTGGCACAGTCAGATGAGTGAGTTGTATGGCTGCATTATGCATGTGGTTATAAAGGCTGAATATTAATTTTGGGAAAGAAGTTATGTTTTTTTTTATCACCATACAAATTCTTTCTATCATTCTGTCTGTCTTTCTGTCTCTTTGTCAGGGAAAATTTTTGGAGAAATTATATTTGCTTGCATTTTGTCCTTTTGGGACTTCATAGAAGGCATTTTATTTCTACATTTTTTTTTTTTACAAAGACAACGAATAAATGAAAATATAAAGCATTTAACCAGCTAATGATGGCATACAGCTGTTGATGATTTTGGGTTCTTTAAAACGTAGGTTTTATTTGACAGTGTAGGCTTAGACGGATCTGACAATTTCAGCCTTTCTTCTGTAATTACTATGCAGCATTGTGAGCTGGATAAGTGGGCAAAAGGGAATAAAAATTCTTTTGCTTATTGTGTCCTTTTTTGTCAGTCGCTAAAGTGGAAAAATGAAAATTTGATTTGAGAGAGACAAACTGTGAGTAATTAGAGGAGACGTAGCTTAAGACACTAAACTCATCCCTATAAGAGATGAGTGAGACTATGAGTGTTGGTGTCAGCCCACATCAAGTGACCATATATATCATGTGGGGGCACGCTGGGTACAGATTCAGTTGGTCCCTCACAATGAAAAAAGAAAGACTAAGAATAGTTACCACTACAAAGAGCTGTCAGTCCGGATTGTAACACAACCATGATAAGATTCTGTCTAGATTACAATAGGCTGCACTGACTGTAACTGTGTATGTTTCTGTGATTGCAACACCTTGTCAGAAAACATACAGTTTTAGAATGCTCCACCCTGAGGGTAATTTGTACGATTTCTAAGGAAAGGCAAGAAGGGCACTGCTACCACAGTTCATACAGGGATTTCAGAGAATGTTTGTGTGTTTTGTTTAATGTTAGTAGGAAAATAAACAAAAAATTTAAAACGACTGATTCGTGCAACAAAGGCAATAATTTGCCCTTATGGTGATTGAACTGTGATTGAAAGCTGACATTGATTAAATTGTTATTTCTACCTTTAGGTTTTAGGAGTGTCCTCTTGGTAGATTATTCAGTCTATCTGAGCTCTAATTCCTTACTTTAATACAGTAGGGTAAGAACAAAATAGAAGAACAGAACGATTCAAATTTCAGGAAATACATTGATCCATCAGGGTGAAACACCACAATCACCATAAAAAGAACTGGTCCAGAGAACTTAACAACAGTTTCTCTTAACGTTTCTTGACTTGTGTGCCCCTTTGGGCATTTTTCAGACCATAAGTATCCCACTCAGTCAAAAGTATTGATGATTATCCAAAAGTAGAACGTGGAAAAAACGGAAATAAAGACTATTTTACTTAATCTTTTAATTTGGGCATTTATTTCTTTTAATACTTTTATGCTTTCCATCTCCAACACAAATATTTTGCCTGGAAGTTAGTAAGGAATCGAAATAAATACAAAATAAAATCCTATTATAAATCTGTATTTATAAAACTGGAACTCCCTTATAATCACATTTAAATTCTATGAATTGGGAATAAAATACAGAACGAAAATCATAGTCAGACTTGATAAGTTTGACTTTGTTTTCATCGAGACATCTGAGCTGCTTTGATGAGCTCAGATAGCTCAGAGTGAAAAACAGCTGATCCTGCAGGCTGTTCTCTACATCCAGTCTGTTCTTATGCTTGGTTTGGATGTTTGTCACAGCTGAAGGTGAACTCAGACATATATATAAAACTTATCCTCACAAAGCAAAACAGACCCCAGCCCTATTTTATTAAATGATAAATGAAATATTTCCATGTACCCCTTCCAATGCACTGGCGGACCTCTATGGGCCCTGGTTGGGTAATCACTGCCTTACACCTTGTTATCAGTGGTTCTAATATACTGTAAGACCCTCTCTGTACTAGATTCCTCGTCAGCTTCGACTCAGATATGATGTCAATCAAAACATTTAAGCTGTTGGTTCTATTCAAGTTCATTGGATGCTTTGATGGTTTCCCTATTTGTATTTGGAACCAATTTGGACACAAAGGGAGTCGCCATATGGCCTGATCAGTCAGTCAGAAGATGACTTTGTGTAACATGTGCTAATATTGGGTTGACAGATTATGATATCAATTAATTTGTTTATTATTTTTAAACTCCAATGTTTAGACTGAGGGAGACAAAAACATATTGACTTAAAATAGTTTTCAACCCATAACAGCTTTTTCAAGACCCTAGTATTTTATATACAAAGCTTAGCAAAGTAAAAAGTAGAGTTTAAACCAATCAATGTTTAATGATTTGGTTTATTGATTTTTGTATATAAATTAAATATTCAGTAAGATTCACAGTTTAAGGACCTGTTGTGTTGAATAAAACAATTTTTCAGATCAGAAAATGTTCCAATCATGGAAATTTGCTGAGCAACTCTTTTACAATAGGATTCTCAAACACAGCAGTAAAGAGAGTTGCTCCTCTCAGAGTAACTTGCAGGTTTGAAACATTATTCAACTGCTTGGCTTGACTAATTATTAACTATATTATCTCTACCTGGTTGTCTGACCTGTCCCATTGTATGGAGAATACTACATCGATCTGTACAGTTTGTTTACAGGCTGACCCTGACTTTCTAAAAGCTCCACTTCAGTTGGGTGGGTTGGATGGATTTATCAAAAATAGCATTCAAATTGAGATGCCAAACCATTTGCAAAACAATGGCACAGGAAGAAGGACTAAACATGGTCTAAAATATCACGTCTTCGAACATTTTCGATGCTTTGCATACAATCTTGTCCTGCCAAACCCACCTGGTTACAAATTTGGAAAGTTTTATCCATGAGTGCCTGTAAATCTAGATGTATGACTTGAGACTTCAGGAAATTAAATTTGAAATTTCTGATAAACAATAACATGGTAATTTATTTCCTCCACGTCAACTTGAAGACTGTTTGACAACTTTAAGTCTAAATTGTACGGTTTTCTTTTTTGCTTTTATTCCAACCTAAAAATTGAAACTTCAGCAAAATTGGAAACTTGACCTCAGTAATTTCAGTGTAAAATATGCTTTGGTGACTTCTATCTATGCTCATGTAAACAAACTTGCGTTTTCAGTAGAATATACATTTGTGGTTAGATCAGGCTATTTTGAATAGAAATCTTTTATGAGGTCAACTATGTGGCAGTTCCAGACGGCTACTTTCTGTGTTTGAATACAGCTGGATAACAATCTGAGCTTGTCAATAGCTGAAACACGCAATTTAACCATGAGCTCAGTTAAATGTGCCTGTGGTTGGCGGTTCTGGCTCATTAACAAACTGATTTCGTACACCTAAAAAGACAAATTTAACTTGAAAATGCTTTGTGGACTAAAAACATAAAAGAAATGGGGCTTTTCTAACCTATTTGACCGCAGAATAACTTAGTAACACAGTTAGTTTCACCGCTGCAGAGTACAGGAAAACATTTAGAAGGACATTTCATTTAAATTAAAAGAATCCTTAAAAAGCCTGTGTTTTTACAGCATACATCACCATGTATATATGTATAATAAATGCTAACCATACTGAACATTTTTATTTTATAAACATCTAAAAAAATTCTATGACATGTAGCAAGATTGAATCTCACATACGTTTAACAGCAAAAATGAAATAGTAGTGTGCCACATTTGTGTACACATGATAAGAGCATCATTACTCAGTGTTTTGAAGAAGGTGTTCCCTGGTTAACCCTCAGACATTAAGGTCAATCTGTTCCTGACATTTAAAGTGTGAGGGATCACCATGAGACAGTATCATTAAAAAAGATGTCTGAGCTCTTAACAAATACGGCAAACTCATGAGTCTGTTAATGGATTCTAAGAGATCTTTAAACAATTTGAAAATAGGCCCCAAAATGAAAAATGGTTTGAATTTTACAAGTCAGTCAAAATAACTGTCAACAAG